GCTTGCTACATATGCTAATTGAGGTAAAGAGGTGTTTGCGTCTTGTGCGTCCAAACGGTGTTAGACGTTGTGTGGGAGAGCTTGTATCCATCCTTGTTTCAGGCCTGTTCCATCAACGGTGTTGTCATCGAGTTAGACATGGGGGTGAAAGAATTGGTATGACGACCCGTCACCTAGTTTCTCTTTTTAGAAAAGCCTTAGGATTATTTGGCTGTATTATAAAGATAAGTGGTCCGTTGTCTCGCTTCTGAAAATGGTTTACGGTCATGATGTGGAGGAATTTAGATTGACCTACGGACTTTTTTCAGAAAAAAGGGGGTACATGGCATAAATCTAAGTGTCTCCGCAGGTTATGGTCAATTTCATGGTTCTTACGCTTTAGTGGGTTTAACACTTCACGATATCGAAATAATATCATGCTTTCATACCCATTTACTTACGCCTGTTAGCAACGGAATATAATTATGGGAAAATAGATTTGATATTAAAAATACGATGTACAAAATATCTCAAACTTTAATCAAACGTGATCCAATAACTTTGATTTGCCAGAAGACTAAGCTGTTATTGAGTATATGCACAGATGATCTTTTCGTCTTCGAAACAAAGACTTGTCAGTTGTAAAACCTGTTTTCATCTGTCGTCTTATAGAGATAAAACAACATTATCATGATGGTGGTAGGTCTTTGCTGCATGATCACTGATCAGTTGGAGCGAGAGGTCTGAATTTAAACAGACAAACTTTTTAACGCTTACTATTGGATGACAGGAGGTATCACGTTTACACTAAATACGGTAGTATTAAGTGCTTTAGCTACAATGTAATAATCTTGATAGGAGGTTTTCTGTTTAACAAACTCTGTCCAGACAATCAAAGTCTCTTCCTGATTTCGCGACTTAGTGAAGAAAGTGAGGTATAGGTTAAACAGTCTTCAATGATGTCTCAAACTTTATAAAGCTGAAGAAGTTGATGAACACCTTTCACCCGTTTATTTGATAGGGATAATGAAGTTAAGGTTGTATCCAATAATGAGCCAGAGTGGGTTGACCGTTTTAAGGTGAAAAGTCTTATTGTATGATATCTTTACAATTGACAGGCAGCCTCTTGTGTCAAGAGGATGCTCTTTTTAGTACAACTTAGACTGATGCCGGTATGTTTATAGGTGTTCGCCTCACTGTCTAACTCCCGATTCCAGTTTGGCGTAATAAAAGTGATTCATGTTTTGAAATTAACCTCAGACCCGTGAGAGATTTTTTTGGATATATGAGCGTACAATTAAGTGCCCTATAGCAGACATACCGAGGTTGAAACCGAAGGAGATGCTGAGTCTTTATTTGAGGAAGACAAGAGAAAGTGTAATCACCATAACTTTTGGGTGCGGCTTTTCGGACTTCAGATACCCATTACGAAAAAGACATGACATATTTTTGTACATATTACTCCGTTTTGAGGCTAAGTGACTTATTTATGAGTATAGAATAGTACTAAAACACTACGCATTACGATCGCATACATTTTTATCTATACATACTGTACGGGTATCTAATTTTGCACTTCCAGGCGAACTTGTATATGTTAATTCCTTGCTCGAAGTACCTCTTTGATTGCTGTTATCCATACTCTTTCTATAGGAGGATGCTTTTCTTCTCGAGTTAAGAGTAACTTACAGCACATCACTTCGAAAAATGAGTTTCCAAGTATGTGGCGAATATGATTTAGAACAGTTCTCAGGTAAAAGCAGCCGAATTTCTGAAGATAAACATCATGAAATAGTAGAATGTTTTTGATAGAGAGTGCTTAGATTAAAAATTTTGATACATAAAATGCTTATCAAGTTTTATTCAAATGGAGGGCGTTTCTTACCAGGCTTCAAAAGCAGCATTTAGCCACGTTAAAAAAGTAAAGGATACTATCATTCAAGGTCTGTATTTTCTGAAGATTTCTTGCGGCGCGATGCCTTCATAAGAATATTAGACCTTTGCACAAACAGCAGAACTATTAACACACAGTATAACTTGGTAGCCACAATTATTAGGTCGGTCTAAAAATCGCATCATTTTGTACTGTAATTAATGGGGTGGGAATTAAACAATAAAGTACATTTTCAGACAATTTGTAATATCCTGGTTATATGGTCCTGTACTAAGCTAACTAGTCACTCGCTAAAACCCAGGGACTTAATTTCAGTTAGGAATATCTATGATCTGTTCTGATAGCCTTGGAATTCACTGCACATTTTTCAGATTCAGATTTGTATAGTAAGGACAACAGGCCTACGGCCTATGGTATTCTAGTATGCTTCTGTGAGTGTCCAGAATTCTCTTGGAAGAGTCAATTGAAGGTGCGGACACCACTGCTTCGGGCAGCAGGTTCCAAGTATTGATGACTCGTTGTGAGAACCTGTATGTCACGGGTATTTTGTTCGTTCTTGGCTTTTCTACTAGCTTGCTATGTCCTCTAAGATGTCCCGATCTAGTGGGAAGAAAAAGAGAGAATAAATTAGGTTCAAAATCATTTCTCAGTATTCTGTACATCAAGATTAGATCTCTCCTTAATCTGCGATAGGACAGGGTGAAGAGATCTAGCTTTTCAGGTCGCTCTTTGTATGGTTAACCCCCGGGTATCTACCCTCTGTACTTTATCTAGGATATCCGAGTCACCTTTTAGACAGGGGCTTGCAGCCTGAACACAGTTTTCAAGCTTAGTTCTCACTAAGGATGTGTATACTTTGGTGAACATAGTAGTATCGAACCTAGTGAATGTCCGTTTTAATGCCCGTACGGTTCTAAACCCCTTAGCTGCGACCTCCTGGCACTTAGCCGTCGTCTTATGATCATGACCCCTGGATCCTTATGAGACCGGAACACGGGTACAGGCACTTTCCCTTGCTGTACCTATTAACCTTTGCATCCCCAAAGTGCATGTAGACACACTTTGCCGCGTTGATAGGCGTCAGCCACTTTGTAGACCAGTTAATTATATTATTTAGGTCTGCCTGAAGAGCATCTGAGTCTGTTTCTCTAGTTATTACTCGCCAGATCTCTACATCGTCGGCGTATAATAACATTGGAGACTGTACTATACTTGGAAGATCGTTGACATACATTATAAAAAGTAAAGGACCTAGGACGGAACCTTGAGGTACTCCACTAAGTACTGGTCTTCAGATGGAGCACTTGAAATTCATTCTTACCTTCTGTCTACGACCTACTAGGAAATCCTTAATCCATTTTAAAGGAGGTCCGGCAATACCAAGGTTTCATAACTTCAATAGCAGTCTATTTGTTGGCACCTTGTCAAAAGCCTTACTGAAGTCTATGTAGACAACATCCACTGAGTTTCCGTTGTCTAGCACCTTTATCCAACATTCCGTTGCTATAAGGAGGTTTGTTATATAGGATAGACCCTTTCTAAAACCATGTCGTTCTATGCTTAACAAGTTATTTGTTTCAATAAATTCCATTTTGGTCCGTTTGACTATTGTTTCCAATATTTTAACTACAACACTGGTGAAGCTTACAGGTCTGTAGTTCGGTGGAACTTGTCTTGGTCCTGTTTTATGTATGGGAGTGACGATTGCGTCCTTCCAGTCCATAGGAAACACACTCTGATTAAGTGACATACTGAATACCACAGTCAGTGGAGCCGCAATATATTGTGCAATATGTCTCAAGATTTTAGGGTGTAGTTCATCTGGTCCTGTTGACTTTTCGATGTTTTAGGTGCTAAGAGCCTTTAGCACATCGTCTTGATCGAAGTCCACAGTGACTTACTTACTTACTTACGCCTGTTACTCCTCGTGAAGGAGCATAGGCCGCTCACCAGCATTCTCCATCCAACCCTGTCCTGGGCAATCCTTTCAAGCTCTTTCCAGTTCTTATTCATCTTTTTCATATCTGCTTCTATTTCCCGACGTAATGTGTTCGTTGGCCCTCCTCTTTTCCGCTTCCCCTCAGGATTCCAAGTTAGCGCTTGTCTCGTAATGCAGTTTGATGATTTCCTCAATGTATGTCCTATCCATTTCCATCGTCTTTTCGTAATTTCCTCTTCAGCTGGAAGCTGGTTGGTTCACAGTGAGCAGGTGTTTTATTGACTCTTTATTTTGGTCTGGTTCTTTGTCTAGAGAAGGTTCTTGAGTGAAAACTGCTCCAAAATAGTCAGCCATAGCCTCTGCTTTTTCCTGATCTTCTTCTATCATTTCAGATTCACTCCCTTCGTTAATTAAATTTGGAATCCAATGACTCATCTTTGTTCTGTAGTTTATGTACGAGAATATTCTCTTAGGCTGCTTGAGAGCAGATTGTGTCAACTGCATTTCATATTTTCTTTGAGCTTCTCGAATTTTTGTTATACACTTGTTTCTTAACAATTTTTAGCATTCCATCGTACCTGCTGTGCCAAGGCGGACGGCGATATCCCAACATTTCTTCTTTTGTCTTAGTAAACGTCGAATATCCCGGCCTATCCAGCGATGTCCTTGCTTCTTCGTCTTTCGGACTATCCAGGGTATGTATGGTTGAGTTACCCGGTTGTATAACTGTCTGGAATGCGCCCGTGCCTCTTGTACTGATGCCCTTGAGCCAATTTCCCAGTTTTCAGCCGATGCTGCGGAGTTGATGGACTCCATATCTACCTTCCATATGTTAGGACGGGCCGGCGCAACTGTTTGACAGGCAATCTCAGCCATAAATGTGAATAAGATGACTGCATGGTCACTTCTCCCTAGTGGTGGGAGGAAAGTCATTCGACCAACGTCATCATCGTGTGTAAAGACTAAATCTAAAAGAGAAGAGTTTCTTAAGTCATATCTTGTGGGAGTTCTAATTTGTTGGAACAAAGCTAATGCAATCGAGGTTTCTAACAGTTTGCAATCGAACGACCAAAGTCAAGTCCAAACAATTCGTTAAATAGAAAATAATGTTTTGTTTGGGATTCTGATTATTATTATGATCCTTTGGTTAATCCTTGATCCATAGCCAGAGAAAAATACTCGAAAATAATGGCGCCCATTTTAGCTACTTGCGTGTCATCACAAAGTGTCGGGATAACCAGTTTATGTTCTGCAAACAAAATAACCCTTGCAGGTAGTCTAAGTACTTTGTAGGGTGTTGCCTGTCATGTTTTTTATGCCTAGCATGGTCATTTTGTACTAATTATGTAAAAGTTCATCCAATTTGTGATTCAAAATACATTAGAACATGACACAGTTTTCATTACCCTTTCGACCAGAAACTTTTAATTTTGGCAGTCTGTGTACTCGTTAGCTATTAGGAGCTTTTGAAGTTTCAAGATCTTCAGTCTTCAGTAATAAGGATAGTAGGTTAGTGAACCTGTGTTAATCCTAACAGATTGCCTTCCAGTGAAGGTCCAGTTTCTTCTTGAAAATATTCACAGATGGGGCTGATACCACTTGATCGGGCAAAGCGTTCCAATCATTGACTACTCGATGAGAAAAACGGAACCCCACCTTGAGTTTATTAGATCGTGGTTTATGAACCTTCTTGCTATGACCTCGGAGATTATTAGTGCTGGAGGGAGCAAAAAGATAAGACATTAACACCCAAATCATAATTTAAGATACGAAATGCCAGTATAAGGTCACCTCGAGTCCTACGATACGACAAGGGGAAAAGGTTTAGGCGTTTTAAACGCTCATCGTAAGGGAGTTTAGAAAGACCCTTCACTAATTTCGTTCCCACACGCTGGACACGCTCAAGTGAGTTAGTATCCTTTATCAGACATGGGCTAGCTGCTTGAATACAGTACTCTAAATGTGGTCTTACATAGGTGGGATATAAAATTCGAAACATTTCCTCGTCAAAAGGAATTGGACGCTCGGCGAAGTGACCACAACTCATGAAAACCTTTGACAGCGGCTGCGTTGCAGTGCGTAGTTGTTTTTAAATCATGACTTATTATTACTCCTAAGTCTTTATGTTCTTGAACTCATGGAAGAGGTTTACCATCAATAGTATAATGGTAACTATTGCCGTGACCGATGTGCATTAGCACACTTCCTAGAATTGATTTTTAAACCCCAGTCTCGAGCCCATCTAACTAAATCGTCTAAGTCAGCTTGAAGATCCAGATGATCAGCCTCAATTTTTATTGTTCTCCAGATTTTTACGTCATCCGCAAATAATAATGTCGACGACCTAAGCAACAGCGGTAACTCATTTACGTAGAGAAGGAAGAGCAGGGGGCCTACGATGGTGCCTTGGGGTACACCACTTTTGACCGGCTTCCAATCGGATAGCGTCCCATTGACCCTAACTCTCTGTCTGCGGCCACATAAGAAGTTTCCTATCCACTCCTGTACAGTACCTATTATTCCGAAGCTTGTGAGCTTCTGCATAAGACCTAGGTGTGAAACCTTGTCAAATGCTTTGCTAAAATCTATGAATATAACATCGACAGACAGACCTTTATCTAAGGCTGCTGTCCAATCCTCTCTTGTAATAAGTAAGTTAGTCAAACATGAACGCTTGTCACGAAATCCATGTTGCTCAGGAGCTAACAGATTGTGTGAATCTATGTGGCTTAGCAACCTAACCCGAATTATCTTTTCAAGTAACTTAACGACAATGCTAGTCAGACTGACAGGCCGGTAGTTAGATACGATTTGTCTCTGACCATCCTTAAATATAGGACTGACTATAGCATCTTTCCAATCCCTAGGTAGTTGAGCGAGTGAAAGGGACATGTTGAAGAGTGTCGCGAGCGGTTTTGAAATAATGTCCGCAAGAGATGACAGCAGTCGTGGATGTAACCCGTCAGGACCCGGTACCTTACCAGGTTTGAGGTTAATTATTAACGGAAGGACAGTTTCTTCAGTCACCTGTACAGATTCAATGGCTGGTATCTTGGCGTGATTGGGACAAGTATTTGTTACAATAAACGTAGAGTAGACTTCGCTAAAATAGTTTGAAAATGTCTCAGTTTTGGCTCGGTCTGATTCAGCTAGTAAATCTGAATTATCGTGTAACAATAATGGGGAATACTATCACTACGTTTTATTTGCCGTTTAACATATGAAAACAATCGTTTTGGACAAGTACGGCTATCATATACCAACTGTCGTTCGTAAGTAGTACGGGATTTAGTTATTGTTTTCTTACAAATGTTCCGGAGTTTCTGGTACTCACGCTTAAAAGATGCATGACCTGTCAACAAGAATAAGTCCCAGAAGTGTTTCCTACGCTTTAACAGCTTACGGGTTTCCTTATTAATCCATGGAGGGCAATGCGATAGCTTACGTGCTGACCATGGGATAAACGGCGACGTTACGGACTCGAATGTAGCCTTAAACTTAATCCATTCGTCTTCGATCGATCCATCTGCGTCAACCGACCAATCAGTAGAGATCGTTCAGTCTCTGATTACCGGAATATTAGCCCGCCAGATATTGGGACGGGGTGGAGCAGATACAAATCGTATACCATGTGTCCTAAATTTAAAGTGAAGTACAACGTGATCACTGTTCACTAGTGGAGGAAGGTGCTGAATATCAAAGACATCCTCACAGTGGTGGGTGAGGGCGTGGTCCAGCAGTGACGGATCACGTTTCAGATCAATATGTGTCGGTTTAGTGATACATTGGACAAGTGCACACTGAATAACTGTTGATAAAAGTTCGCTATCGAAACCTCCACCTAGAGCTGTAAGTTCTATCCAGTTTATGTGCGGAGCGTTGAAGTCCCCAATGATGAGGCAACATTCTGCCATACTCCAAGAACAGATGTCTTAGGATAAAGTCGTCAGCAAGACAACACGGACTACGGTATATTCCGCCTATAGTCACTAATCCATTTCTAGATTTAATCTTACAACATGCTACCTCACATGTACCACTAACATGAGCCTCCGCCCCCAAATGCCCTGGTACGGCCGAGAGTGGGGGGAGTCCGCTCCCCCTCTCGAAATGCTCTCATATGGCCACGCGTATACAGCCCCTGCCAGGGAAGTCCTACTCACTGCCTTCTCGTGGCGGGGGTGTTGTTTACAAAAATGAGAGGACGAAAAGCGAATGTCCGGCGCTATAACCGGATCCCAAACCAATGGTGCACATGGGCTCCAGTATCCTGCGGGAACAAATGGCGTATGAACCAATCGTTGGTCACCGGCTACCATGGGACTGCATCTCCTCACGATGCTCCACTGCCTTGTGGGTCAGACGTTCAGGTCGAAGGCTCGGGGTGTGGCCCCCTAAGAAAACCACCTGCTTCGGTTTGGGCACCCGGGCAGTATCACAGCCCTCACACATATCAAATGAGATTTGTGTGGCGCATATGTATTTGGTGCCTTCTTGTACCGATATTTATGTGTTAAAATAAAATAAAATAATGAGCCTCCAATATGATTGATTGTATACGAAAGTGGTCCCTAATGTATAACATTATGCCTCCCCTGTGCGGCTTAAAACTCTATCACTTCTAATACAGATATAGCCTGCAATGATGGGAGAACATTCTATATCTACGGTGAACCAAGTTTCTGTAATGACAATTATATCGGGACTTAATTCATCCACCATCAGACTTAGCTCGGACGTTTTATTCGTAAGACTACGGGCGTTCGTGTAGCTCACACTTAAGGTGTTTTGGTAATCGTTCGTTCTACCCATACAGGCCTCGGAAGCATTGGCTTCCGAGACCTGACTACCCGAAAACCCTTAATAGTAAGGTTAGTTTCGCCATTTAACTTACGAGTTCTTAACTCCGTAAGAGAATTCTTCCACTTGATTCGATCCTCAAGCGGCCAATCTGGTCGGATACGAATATTTGAATCACGAATTTTTTGTGCGTTTTTCAATAATATATCTCTTTCTTCAAAACTCCCTAGAACCAGCTTCAAGATCCTTCTTGGTTGGGTCTCGCCTCCAACCCCATTTACCGAGTCGTATCACTTTCGTGATATGTACTCCTGAAACCTCTTCAGGTAGTACGTTTCTTACCACGGATTCTACTAACTTCAGATCATATGCATGTCTCTTAGCAGGATCGTTGTCTATCGACCCCTCTAGATTCCAAATAATTAAGCTAGGGAGTAGTTTAGTTTCTTTTGGAATCGTGTTTACAGCTATGGATCGTGACCTAACATCCTGTATATTAACTACTGGTATCTTACAATTAGTTTTTATTGTAACAGAGTCATTGGAGTCGAGCGAGTGACTCACAACAATGTTTGACGAGGCTTTACTTTGGGACTTTGGCGGAGTGGTCTGAGAGTCCACCAAAGACTTATCAAGTAAACAGTCCTTACTTTTAGCTGTCTTTCCTACTCTTCTGCGTTTACGCGTCATCCATATTCCGTCAGCCGTAGCATCTACATCAGAACTGCTCGGGACAATAATTGTTTTATCTGGATCACCAGTTGCTGCTGTAGCAACATGGCCACCAACATCTAATGAGGTGTCACTCATTGATTGTTTCGAGGTAAAAAAATTGATCTCGGGTTGCGCAGTTAGATGTCTGACTTGCGCCGTGACAGCACTTACGACACTAACGCGATCTTCGCTATTAGCACCAATATTGTCAGTGCAGCCCTCGTCAACCTTCTTATTAGCCAACACCAGGAGGCTAATGGCTTCCTGGGTGTGTTGTTTTGTTTGAGCAACAAAAACTACAAAGCCAATGAGAGTTGGGCTTCGAGCACCTTTTATATGCATCGGGGCTTAGTCGGGTGCACATCTTGTGGAACCACTTCTTACACTCATCACATTGCATCCCTTCCCCCACGGGGAATAAGCAACATGGTTGTCCACATTTATGAGCCGATTTGGCCATCTTGAAAACCAAATACAATGGTGATACAAAGAGGATATGTAAGAAATACTAAAACCTCGACTAAATTATCAAGTAAAAGTCGACCAAGTATGCTTTGGTGCAATAAATACACAAAAGCAGAATCAAAACACTCAATACAATATCACTTTAACTGGAGTAGATTCAATTAAAGTGTAAACAGTAGTTTTGATGCGTAATTTACGATCAAAACAATTAAGTAACTCAACGAGAAACAATACCACTGTCCTTTTAGAAAGCGCGCCGAAGCTGAAAAATACATACTGAAATTCAGAACGTCAGATAATTGTCTGACATTCAATCAAATATATTTCGTTGAAAGCATATGCATTCAAATGATGGTTATGTATAAATTTGTAACTATAATATGATATTTGTATAATATCTTAGAAGCCATTGGTAAAGTGTCGAAATTCTACTCAATACTATCTCCTGACTGTCCAACTAATTATATCGGTGTTCCTTATCTCAGATTTTCATCCTTTGTTTTGTAGGTTTTTATGGATATAAAACGTCTTACTGGTGAAGATAAGCTCAAACTCAGCCGTACTTACTTCTTTGGTAGGTTATTCTAGTTGTCTAAGATCTTATTCTGTTTTTAGCTGGAATCGGATTTCTTCCTTTCCTCTGGTGGATTAACGTTTTTTGTTTTTTAAAAGAGTTGTCTGCCCCACAGGCATATCCAGAATCAAAGCTGATTAGGAAATGTACCGAAAATTTTTATTGAAACTTCATTTGTAGACGTCACTTTAAGTTTAATTGGAGCATTGTCTTGGACAGTTGTCTTTGCCGTTTGGATTGTTACTTTCCTAAATTTCCGGGTTAGTTGGGGTGAATTGGGGGATCGTTTGTCGTTTAACATACCACCTGGTAGATTATGATGATGTCACCAAGGGATAACGAATGCCTTCCCAATGGGTCTGTTTGGGAGGTTACAGACTTGCTAGCTGAGGATACTGTCATCGGTGAAACCCCTTGTATTTACACTTCTTCATCTGGATCTCGGCATATCTTCATATCTACAAAGTCCGGATTTATGGTAATATACAAATAAAAAAAATCATGCCTTTTGTAGAGCCAGGTGCTTTACATAAGTCGTCACGTGGACCGTTTATTATATAAATATCATAGTTCATCTCAGTTCGATCCCTCAAAACCGTCTGAATTTTGGATTCACGGTATAGGACCGCTTAGTATTCTGAGGACAGCTGAACTGGCTCTACACTTAAGTCATCGATTGTACCCTGGGCACCTCAAAATATCAACTTACACGAGCAGCTGTTCAACTAAGAAACACGTGAGTCGGTATTTTTTGAAGTTGTTATCACCACTTAGCTTGTGAGGTACATTTTATTCTAAAATTTTCAGTCCAGAAGTAAAAGCACTGTATGCAGTAGATTTCCAACACCATTAAAATCGTACCAAATGTCTTTTTAAATAAATGTTTTTATCCATTTTGTTTTTCAGATCATATCTCAAGTAGAAAATGAGAAAATTTCAATAAGAGAAGAACCGCGGACTAAAGGTGCTATTCATGTCCATATCCGCTTGGTCCCCACACGCGATACTTAGATATTTTCATAAGTCATAAAAATACTTTGATAGGAATTCTCAGATCGTACTTCCAGTTTATATTTTCATTATCCCAATGGTACTTGAATACCATAATGTATATTATGAGTTAAATAAATGGAAAATTTAACTCTCTGTTCTAATTTAACCTTAAATATTTGTTTGCTTGTTCACTGATTCTGTTAATGTTCTGGTTACGTGAAACAAAACTCCCGATAATTTTGTACCTTATCATTTTATATTGTATCTTTATGGGTGAATATATATACCAAAAGTAATGGCTACATGAAAAGCCTCCACGATGATTATGCTTCTAGTATAGGATTCCATGTAATTTATCTAGCCTTATTTAGTCTTTGTATCACTCAGTTTTTTGTAAAATTGTGTTGTGTAAGATGAAGTCACTTTATGTCATTCCATCACACTTAAATCATTTCACACTAATGGATGTTTACAGGCAGTACATCAGATTGTATCAGTGAAATGTTTTAACATTTCTGTGATCTGGTCAGAGACATAATATTAGGTTTGCACCTCTTATATAATATTTTCTAAGTAGCGTAAACCGCTGAAAGGTAAAGTTCCACGGAGTGCCAAATTATCATTTTTATATTCTATTAACATAATCATATGACTTAGTTGTCCCATTAAATAGTACTGAATTTCGAACACTGAAATTTACTGAGTAAATTAGAAAGCTGTAGATTTACACTTACTTGTTTTGATTCGTTGATTTATAAGCATCTAACTACAACTTCATTTTTTGTAAAGCATATTCAACGAGTAAAGCAGCCCAGATTGTGGTAAACGTCTGAAAATGTAGTAAGCTTATATTAAACTCCGAAGCTTCGTATGTTAGTCCTGACCGTAGCTGCCACCTTGACGTGGTGGTCGGGCTTGCCTATCGTGACGACCCAACCGAGCTATATTGGCTGAAACACATGTTCCTGCAGGTTCTACCATACCAGGCAGGTCGATTGGAGAACGGTAAGACTAAAATCAGCAACTCAATGTCTGAGGGCGAAGTCGTACTGCTGACTGTACAGAGGTGTGACAGCAGTAAGGTGTTTCCCTCGGACAACCAGCATCTGCAGCGACGCTGCCTTCTCACAAGGAAGGAAGGGGTTAGAAAAGGTTGACCCTAAAAATGTCACACCTCACCTTACCCCACGGATTTCCGTCTCCGGCGGTAAGGCCGTTTGAAGAACGGAGCTAACACATTAAAAACCCCCCACAAAAAGGCCGTGCGCTACCGGCCTCACGCAGTTGTCCCTTGGACTCTGCGGTCACGCACCCAGGTCGCTAAGACCAACACTAATCCGACTTCTTTTTCAGGTTCCTCAAGAAATACCCTTCCACGGTGTGGGCGACCGGAAAGTGATATCAGCCCTCATACCCGTAACAGTACACGAGACCAAGTTGGTCACATTAAAATGCTTCCTACACCTCCTAATAACTCTCTTATCTGCACGACTAACCCTTCTTACGTCCCTTTATCACCTCGCCCCGCTAGGGCGAACGATTCGAGTACACGGAAAATTATTCCTGGTCTCCTGAAACCACGCTCCAAACTACACGTAGGAGCTTTCAACGTCCGAACACTGTGCCAAATAGGACAACAGGCTTCCTTAGCTAAGACTTTAGAATCTCGCTCCATCGATGTGTGCTGCGTCTCCGAAACGCGCACACAGGACCCGAGTAGTGTCATTCATTTGACCGCAGCATGTCAAAGTAACGAGCCAACTCGAATTACGTTTCGTGTATCTGGAGGCCCTGACGCCGCTTCCCGTGAGCTCGCCGGCCTAGGTATAGCATTGATTCCTTGGGCAGAACTAGCTCTCTTAGACTGGATCCCAGTAGACAGTCGTTTGTGCGCTGTCCGACTAAACGAAACAGTAAGGACTCGGAAAGATAGAGACACTCGTCGTTGCCTGTCCGTCGTCTCTGCCTACTCTCCCACTGACTGCAGCTCAGATGATGTAAAAGATGAGTTTTACAGAAAGCTTTCCGACCTTCTCCGAAAAGCTAGGCGTTCAGATGTAGTAATAGTGGCTGGTGACTTTAATGCTCAAGTAGGTAAACTATGAGAAAGGGAAAGACAACTGGGTGGATCTTATGGTGTCGCGGCTCAAATAACAAATAACGGTGACCGTCTGCTGCAGCTATGCTCAGATAACCGCCTGTTTCTTGCAAGCACTAACTTTAAGCATAAGGAAAAACATCTTTTGACATGGCGACCCTCTAATTCGTCCCAACGCTGGACCCAAATAGATCACATCGCTATCAGCCACCGATGGAGGGGCTCGATAGAAGACTGTCGCTCATTCTGGAACACATGCTTAGACTCAGATCATGCTCTAGTGCGAGCGCGTATTTGTCTACGTCTTACTGGACGTAGGAAAGATGGTACAAGGAAACCCCTCAGGGTCCTACTTAATGATAGTCAAGCTAAGAGTATATTTCAGGAAAAACTAGAAAAACAGTTAGGCAGCCATGTATGTGATGCCCACCCATAGACAGTGTGGAATGACATCCGAAAAGCTGTAGAAACAGCAGTGGTATCTGCAAGTACGGTAAACCATAAGGTTAGGAGAAACACTGGATCTCAGCAGCATGTACCGCACTGATAGATGCTCGAAAACTCATCCCGTCTGGCTCTGAACATAACGAAGAGCGGAGTCAGCTTAAGCGTAAGCTGACTAGAAGCTTGCGCAATGTTCGTGAACAGTGGTGGGTAGCGAAAGCAAGAGAGATGGAAAAGGCAGCGGCAATAGGTAACAGCAGGCAACTGTTCAGACTTGTTAAGGAAACCGGTATTAGGAACCCAACTGTTAGCGAAACAATCTCAGAGAAAGATGGACATATTATTCATTCTCAATCCAGGAGATTGGATCGATGAGCAGAATACTTTAGGGATCAGTTCAACTGGCCTTCAGCCACACTTCGGTTTCCCACGATCTCCAGTCGACCTGAATGGCAAATTAGTGTAAGTCCTCCGACTCTTTACGAAGTTGAAAAAGCTATAGGAAATCTGAAGTGTGGGAGAGCAGCAGGCCCTAACAGGTTTACCCCTGAGATTTTTAAGGATGGCGGTCCAGTAATAGCAGCGAGATGGTTGTAAGTAAAGTACTTAACACATATTGAAATAAAGTCAGTCATCAGAAATATACAACCTGGGATGAATGCTTATCGGTCCAGGTTTCCACATATCAAATCAGTATATTGAAAAGAAATTAACGAGATGGAAAACATAGATGGGAAATAATGGAAGTAAAAAAAATAAATAACTAGATTTAGAAGAAACATGTGTTTCTCGACCTTAAGGCGGCATTTGACTCTGTTGATCGTGAGGTTCTATGGCAGTGTTTGTCACTGAAAGGAGTACCAAAGAAGTACATTAACCTTATAAAGGCTCTCTACTCGAACACAACTGGTCGAGTGAGAGCATGTGGCGAACTGTCATCAGAACTGATTACCTCAAGTGGTGTTTGTCAGGGCTGTCCACTCTCTACATTCTTGTTTAACTTTGTTGTTGACGTCCTTTTAGAGATGACACTTTCCTCATCTAAATTTCCAGGAGTTGAACTTCTACTGGGAGATCCATTTGTTGACTTAGAATATGCCGATGACATAGTTCTATTTGGTGAAGACGCTGACAGAATGCAGAGTCTGCTGACCACTCTAAGCAACAATGCAGGCATGTTCGGTATGCGATTCTCCCCTTCGAAATGCAAGATGTTGCTTCAGGATTGAATTGCACCGCCACCCGAACTAGTGATAGAAAGTGAAGTAGTTGAGCGTGTCGGCCGCTTCACTTATCTGGGAAGTTTCATCAGCCCTTGTGGTTTGGTGTGTGACGAAATCTCAGTACGGATACAGAAGGCTCGACTAGCTTTTGCCGACTTGCGTCATTTTTGGCGTAGGCGAGATATCCGTCTATCAACCAAAGGACGTGTTTGCTGCGCAGCAGTTCGTTCTGTCCTACTTTATGGCAGTGAAACATGGTCAGTAAGAGAAGAGGATATTCGTAGGTTACTAGTATTTGATCATAGGTGTCTTCGAAGCATTGCTCGTATATCATGGGACCACCGAGTAAGTAATGCAGTTGTTAGGAAACGGGTACTAGGTAAGGATGGCAAATCAATTGAGGAAGTAGTGAAACTTGATCAGTTGAGATGTCTGGGACATGTGTTGCGCATGTCCGACCACCGACTGCCCCAACCTGCGATGTTTTATGGTGTAGGAGTAGGTTGGAAGAAAGCTAGGGGTGGCCAGACCAAAACATCGCACAAATCCATGAAATCACTAACAGGTGAACTGAACCATGTTGGTAGGTGTAGGCTACCTGGTTGGGACCGCGAGACGACAACAACCGATGGTTAGAGACTTTGAATGACATTGCTCAAAATCGTTTGCAATGGCTCAGGTGCATCCACTCTTTGTGTTCTTCCAAATTGTAATCTTCTGAATTCTTCATGTCCCTTTTCGCTCTTTTCAAATTTATTTCACTGTATTATACTCCTTAAATAACATCATCAAACTCTAATGTTCCCTATCACTACTTATACTTTTAGTACCTCTACCACTATGGGATTTGAATCGATAACTGAATCTCTGTGCTAATGCGGTACGGCAACTCGAACTGATGTACGTACGTACGAAGTTCCACGTTGTTACAGACAGACTGAGACTCGTATGTTAGTGGTCATCAAGAAATCGTGAACCAACTAAAACCGCATTTTGAGAAATTTTAGCGTTTGATATATTGTCAGTAGTCGTAAAGAAAACTCAAGTCGAGCTGATGGAGGAATTCCTCAGTTATCTTACTGTTGTCCAGAGAGCCAGATACACTGCTAGAATTCCGTTTCTTATCATGGTATTTATTTTGATTAGTATCCGGTTATCTACATAACCGGATGTCAATTGAGATTCGTGTGGCGCATATGTACTTGGTGCCTCCTTGTACCTATACCTATGTGTTAAAATAAATAAATAAATAA